GACCAACGACACCCTTACACATCTATCGTTTCATTCAAGTTTAAAAATTCAAATACGACGAAAGCACCTTAACTGGCGAACGTGTCGTTTTTCAACAACATAGACGAAATGGGAGATACATTTGTCATTTGGAAACTTCCCCGAACGGTCGACATCCTGTCACCTACTTCAGTACCAGCATGTTAATGACAGATATACAATGTAGTAAGTGTATACAGTTATATAAGAGAGAAATTCGTTTTTAATTCTGATCACCTCTTAGGTGCAGCTTTGATTCCGAAGTAATGTTTCACATTGATTGTTTCACCTCTTCAATAATTGTTTTAGGTTTCGAATTCCTTAATATGTTCTCGTTGAATTGTTTTACATTTGTCATTTCGGGGCCTTTTATAGCTGACTATGCGGTATGGGCTTTGCTCATTGTTGAAGGCCGTACGGTGACCTATAGTTGAGAATTTCTGTGTCATTTGCTCTCTTGTGGAGAATTGTCTCATTGGCAATCATACCACATCTTTTATTTTTATAGATATTATGAAGATAATTATTTGTCGATTGATTGATTGGCTGATAACAGTTAGATGAATCTCCAGTTACAAATGGTTTATGCATATTCATGACGAGATGAAATATCAATACAACCAATTGTTATGTTCTTTGGAAAAGGACGTCCGGCAGATGACAATAAGACTTCCACATAAATGTATATGTAAAGGAAAAGAATGTACGTCAAGGGCATACAAGAGTTGCGGAAATAAGGCCCATGCGTTTGTCGTAAATTAACTTAACTTTGCCCTGGAAGGACTAATGTAACAGACAAGATATTGATAAAACCAAAGGAGTAGGTTCACGAAAAGTTAATATTGGCCCTACTACAGTAATAAAAGTAAATATATGATGACAAACTACGTAAAAATATCTCACAATTGCAAAATCTCTGACGCATTACAATACTTATGATGTCATGATGACGTCGACAATTTGTACTTTCGTGAGCAATACAGCGGGTGCCACATATAGAGCAGGATCTGTTTACCCTTCCGGGACACCTGATATCCGCCCTGTTTTCTGTTGGGTTCGCGTTGCTCAGTCTTTAGTTTTCTAACCTTTTTATATCAAATTTATTTTGATCGAAGAGGGTAGCCAATGTTTTTCAGAAGGAAATAGACCTTACAAATCATAAAAGCAGGTAATATTGCTTGAACTTGTTAAATTATCATACTTTCTAAGCGGTAAGAATTGTTAAACAAACAGTAGGTAGAAAATGTTAACATCATAAATATAGGTTTTTAGAAATGATATTTCGAAGTAACATTTTTAGGGCCAAATTAAAATCTTCCGGAACTTTGACGGATTACTATCAAGGTGATTTCTTGGTTTTCCTTGCATTGTATTTTAAAACTCTTGAGTAATTTTTATGAGTACACCAAACAAAGTTTGTGGGATTATGTTAAAAGCTTGAAAGAAAACTTAATTTTTTTTTCTGATTTGGCTGTGGAAGATTTTTCAACAAAAGATATATATTTATGGATAGAAAACTGCATAAAATCCGTCGTTTACTCTTTTGTCGTGAAATATGTATGTATTTTGACATATTCATGTTACCCATACCATTGTGAATCTTCTTTTATTCATTTTTTTTTTCTCGATTTTATGAGTATCACAATATTATTAGCAAACTTGAAGTAGTTTTCCAAAACTTCATAATCTTGATGCCTCTTGTCGTTTTGACTTGCAACTATACCAAGTATTGAACGTCGCGAGGAGCCGCGGTAATATCGTCCCAAATCTGACATGGCGTGGCTGGGTATCTATACATCCCTAAGCATCAAACGGCAACCCTCATCAGCATGGGTTTGAATGTCGGACGCGAGAAGTTCAGACGATAGTATTTATATACCCTAGCCATTGGAGCTCATTATTTGTCGAAATGAATATTAGTCGCATCAAAATAAATATCGCATGTTCATATACTCCAATAAAATACAGTTATTAGTCTCTGATGCATGATTTTTTTTTATTATAAATTGTTTTTTGGCCTTTAACTAGCTGTCAGTAACTGCGAGTACTCTCAAATCGTACTTTCTTGATTATTTGACCTGTTGATACTAATTGTAATGCTTTTTTGTTATTTAATGTTATTCAGGGTTATATCTGGTCTTTATACCAGCTTTGATAAGCGTTTGGTATTACTTTAAATTTTCACTTCTTCGTACTATGAACATCAAAATTATTTATTTTGTAAAAACATTTCCTTTCTCCATTTGAACTGTACACGTATACCTAACAACAAAATTATTTTCATTTACCTGTGTTTAAAGTAATTGCAAATGGCTGATATTTTTGTTCAAGCATATTGTTTTTCTTAAATTGTTTAACATTTCACAGCGGTATAACATGTTACTTTAATTAATCTTCCCTTAGTTTATTTATTTTGTATTTACATTGTATCATAGATCAAATTTATTTGTTCGGTGTATGTTCACTGGTGTTAATATGTCTTTTGATTGAGTTAAGCCATTTCAATTGATATTTTATAGTGTGTCTTTTTATGTTGTGATGTTACACTATTGTTTCAGATAAGGGTGAAGGTTTGGTACCATTAAAACGTTTAAACCCGCTGCAATTGTTTGCACCTGTCCTAAGTCAGGAATCTGATGTGCAGTAGTTGTCGTTTGTTGATGTGGTTCATAAGTGTTTCTCGTTTTTTATATAGATAAGACCGTTGGTTTTCCCGTTTGAATGGTTTAACACTAGTAATTTTTGGGGCCCTTTATAGCTTGCTGTTCGGTGTGAGCCAAGGCTCCGTGTTGAAGACCGTACTTTGACCTATAATGATTTACTTTTATAAATTTTGACTTGGATGGGTAGTTGTCTCATTGGCACTAATACCACATCTTCTTATATCTATAAAAGTTATATTGAGTGATCATGTAGTTTACGACAATTGGAACATATCCGTCAATTTCCATAACGGTCATCTAACTTGTGATGGCGTCCGTAAAATATTCAAAAGGAGTGGAATTTCACCACTTGGAACCCTTTGTTTAATATCTTCCCTGTATGCAAGAATTCTCTATCTAGGAAATCATGATAGGAAATGCATGGTCTGGAATATCGTATCAACTGGGAGATATGTTGTATTCTACCGTTTATTTTTTGTTTGTTTTACCATTAAAGTATTATATTGTCAACATAAGGCACGTTTTACGAATATAATTTCTAAATAGATTTCAAATTTGAATATACTACTTTCAAATTCTATCTAATGAAGTACCAAATGAGACAGAAATTTTCAACTATAGGTCACCGTACGGCCTTCAACAATGAGCAAAGCCCATACCGCATAGTAAGTTTGGTTTATTTTTTTTTTCTTAAATGAACGTTTGTACAAAATAAAACTAACCCTTGTTCTTGGACACATAGATATTAATAATAAGACAAGAAATTTATAAAGTTAGGGTTAATTTTATTTAATGGACAGGATCCTGTTGTTCAGTGGTTGTCGTTTGTTGGTGTGGTTCATAAGTGTTTCTCGTTTCTCGTTTTTTATATAGATTAGACCGTTGGGTTTCCCGTTTGAATGGTTTTACACTAGTAATTTTTGGGGCCCTTTATAGCTTGCTGTTCGGTGTGAGCCAAGGCTCCGTGTTGAAGACCGTACTTTGACCTATAATGGTTTACTTTTATAAGTTTTGACTTGGATGGAGAGTTGTCTCATTGGCACTCATACCACATCTTCTTATATCTACTTCATTAATAGACTATACATTTTGTTATAAAATCATTTTGACAATCATACATGTACTACATGTATCATGCGGACAGCTAATAACCTTGTACAGAACAAGGAAGATAATACGATACAAAAAGACTAGCAACAAAGGAGAAAGATCGGATTCCAACAGTCTCTCCCCTCCTTGGGTAAGAGAAACAAATTTCTAATATCCTATTGGCGTGGCTCGGTACTTATACATCCCGCCATTGTGTTATTGTGCTATGGTCATTTTTTGTATTCTTGTCTTTCATTTTTGCTTATGTGCTTTGACTATATGCCATTTTGTTTTTCTTTGTTGACATGTTTGGTTCATTAGTGACTGCTGTACCCCTATTTTTGACATTTTTTACCTATTATGTATATTTGTTTTGTTCACACATTGTTGTCAATGTAATGGAATTTGATGCGACTGTCATACAAGTGAGAGTTTAGCTAGCTATAAAACCAGGTTTAATCCACCATTTTCTACATAAGGAAATGCCGTTATTAAGTCAGGAATATGACAGTTGTTTTCCATTTGTTTGATGTGTTTGAGCTTTTGACTTTGCCATTTGATAAGGGACTTTCCGTTTTGAATTTTCCTTAGAGTTCGGTATTTTTGTTATTTTACTTTTCATTACCATCAGAATTCAGTACTAGTTATCATCGAAAACTATACAATCACAGGCTAGTGCGATTATCGAGAACATTTGAACTTCTGAACTTTTTATCACGAAATATTTGTATTTCTCGTAATTAATTATTATTTTATTTTGCTACGACTTCGTTTTATAACTACGTACTTACATCATAGATGATTTCATTTAAGCGATCCATTTTCCATTCATTATCTGATTAAGAATGGTTTCCAAAGTGTTTTGTATTGAAAAAACTGTACAAAAATTAAAAATGAAAAGTTACGTTGTATATTGCCATTTTGTAAGAAATAAAAATGAAAAGTTACGTTGTATAGTGCCATTTTGTTCGAAGTTTTATGTTTGACTGTCTTTCTTGGCTTAACTGTCTGATATTTTTTCAAAATAGTCTGCTGCTATGGCACTTGTAGAAACAGACTTAGATTCTTTTCAAGTACCAAACCTCTCTGTCGTGTAAACCATGAATACATTTTAGTTTGCTGGTACCTTTATATGTACAAAACGTTAACATGTAACCAGATTTGTTTATTTAATCTACTTAATAAATGTGGAAAACTAATGTAAAATCGCAAAGATCAAATTTAATAAAACACTTTTTATTCAAAAATTAGTCTAAATGACAGTTCATATCTTTCTAAAAGACTGTGCTAGCGTGTACTTAGAATGGTTAAAACGACAATGGTGGCAGTCATGACAATACCAAGAGCTGTCCAAAACATTACAAAATCTATCGATGAAACAACGTCACTCCAAGTTGTTTCTGTTTCACAGTCATCATTATCTGGCTCTGTATTTTTAACTTGAATAATTTCAACTTTGTTTTTGTCCGTACTGTTCACGGCTGCAATTCTATTAAACGGCAGACATTTTATAATTTTAATCACGGATGGAGGAACGGGATCTTTCCGATGATGAAGCCTAAGCTGTAAGACAGTTATGGTTATAACAATCGTTCCCATTGCTAGTTGAAATATCAGATAATATCCTACGATCGAGCCAGATGTCTTTGGAAGTTCTGCATTGACTATAGTGAGGAAAACGGCAAACGACAAAAACACGGTTATACATTGTGAAATCTTCTCACCACTATCGGCAGGAAGAGCAAATGTTAATACATTCAGAAAACTTAAAAGAATAACTGGAAGAATAATGTTCATTATATAATATGCAGAATTACGTTCTATGTTCAGTGAAAACACCACTCTTGATTCTGCTGCATCAGATGCTTCAATATGTGCTGTCGATAAAACTGTCCATTCGGAATTTTCCTCATAATAGTCCAGGTTGATTCCATTGTTCCAAAGTGTTACATTAACATCTTCGATACCACTTGACCACACGACAAAACTTAGTTTGCACGTCTGTTTATCAAATGGAAAGTACTTCGTGTCTAGGGAACATTTTGTTTCAAATACTTCGAAGGGTTTCCAAAAAACTTGTCCATCCATCGCAACAGCTGCATTGATAAAACTATTTCCAAGTTCCTTAAGTTTAGAAAAACCATTTTCTAATGTTATATCCGGCTTCCAGATATCTGACTGTGGAATATAGAAGTATCCTACACCGTTGTAACTTGGTGGACTCCATACCAGAAATTCATCTATCCATCCCAAATGTAAAAACGCAGTTGTTGTTAGTTTCCCTTCTATTTCGTCTATATCGTTAATTCCGACCAAGTACAAGTCCAAATCTACAGTCGTTGCTGTAGTTTGATCCGACTTTGGTCTTACACGTTTATCATAACTATTTGTAGTAAACAGTGCCGTCAGTAGATTAGTCACATCACTTCCAGATTGCCCGTTAATCTCAACAAATAAAATTAGTAAAAGGACGTTAAAAAAAGAAATAAACATGTTTCCCCACCAATATCTAATTTAACCACAACGGTCAGTATATATACATACAATATACGTGATACCAACTGAATAATTATACTTTGCCGACTTTATATAGTTCAGTGTTAATTCCCTCCAAAGAGTATTAATTATAATACCTAAATACGTTTTTCTCTAATCAAAAGTCCTTCAATAAACCATTTAATCGCAATTATTGATAAGTTAATTCAAACACTTTCTTTTTGAATAAGTAAAATCAATTTTATAATATCTCTGATGATTTAAATGACCAATGATATAGCTGTGATTACACGTCTAAGAAGAATCCGGATATCTGATTTGACAATAACATGTTATAGCATTCGTTATTGGGAGAAACACTTTATTAAACATTCACACAGAAAACATCATGATGTAAATTATGTTCAGTGTGAATCATTGTAAAAATCATTGTAAATTATGTTCAGTGTGAATCATTGTAAATAATGTCAAGTGTGAATCATTGTAAATTAGGAAATTGATAACTTGTTTTCAACCTTTGTACAAGCAACTTATAAAAGAAAGGAACTAAGCTCGCACTGGAATAGATTATGAACGACTGTGAGGTAAAACGCAACATCAATATCTCGACAATTCGAATATACATATGTACTTCTTCTTCTCTCTATATGAGCTTCCTTTATAAGGAACACCAAGGATAAATCCAAGTAAAATGTTTATATCTATATACACGGTAGAAGTTAAAGATATAAACATTTTACTTGGATTTATCCTTGGTGTACAAATCCAAACAAAGCCTAATAGACATTTCGCACATACAAAGGTACACCTCCAAACAAAGCCTTATACACAATTCGCACATACATTTGTACAAACCCAGAAAAATTAAAGCCTAATAGACAATTCGCACATACATATGTACAAGCCTAGGCAAATTAAAGCCTAAAGGAAAATTCGCACAAAATTATGTACAAGCACAAACAAAGTTCTTTAAAACTTGAGTTATTTGCGTACATCAAATAACACAATAGTTTTTACACCTTTTTTCTATGGTCCTCTGCACTCCAAATCAGCCCAAATGGTTAAGCTCAGTCACTTGTTAAAAATTGAAACAGGTCCAATATCACTACACAGAGATTTTTTGTTTACGCACTACTTTTGTGTTCCTCAATTTGAGGTGCATGAGGGATATTGACCCATATGTACAATCCCATATAGAGCCTAATAGTCAATTCAAATATTCATATGTACAAACACAAACTAAACCGAATAGACAATTCACACATACTTATATACAAGCCCAAACAAAGCCTAATAGACGATTCGCATATGCACATGCACCAATTAGATAAAGCATAATAGACAATTCGCGCATACATATTTACAAGCCTAAGCAAAGCCTAATAGAAAATTAGGAAGCAACTTTGGCTAAGGATTTTGTTTTAAGTTTTGCTTTTGAAAAAGGAAAAACAAAAATGTTTTCACTAAGAATTATTGTTTTTTTTTTTTATCTGAAATTGACTTACGGAAAATTCAAGTACTTTATTAGATCCTATTATATTGAGTGAAAATCTTATATGCGCTTATTCTGATGTTATAAAAATCTCAAAAGATATAAGTGACCACGATGCAGCTATTGCATACATTAACTGCCCAAAGGGAATATCAACGACATTCAAAAGAGAAATATGGCAATATGACAAAATAGATTTGGTTAAATTTAATAACAATCTGGACGAAACTAACTGGAGTGACAAGATAGGAAATTTTGAGGACGTCGATGATATGTGTGATCAATTTACAAAAATATTTTTGGAAATAGCTAGGGAATGTTTACCCACAAAGAAAATAACAATAAGATGTAATGACAAACCTTGGTTCAATAATCAATTAAGAAAGGAAATTAGAATTCGCGATAGGTTACGGAAAACAGTTCTAAAAAATAATAAAGAAAGTGATAAAATAAGATTTAAAAAACAAAGAAATAAGGTAAATAATATGAAAAAAATCTGCCCAAGAAAATTTTGAAAAAAATTTGGATAATTTTTACTGGATACATTGTACTTCCAGTCCTAAAAATTACTGGAAAATAATGAAGATGTTAATAAAATCTAATAAGGGGAATAACGCAATTCCACCAATTCAAAATTTAAATAATGAGCCGAATTTTGACCATATTGTATATGACGATACTGACAAATGTGAACTAATGAATAAATACTTCGCGTCAATATCAAAACTTGAGGAACAAAATGTTGAGATGCCCCCATTTGAGAATAAACGGAAAGTATATTAATTAGTGATATTCAAATAACAGAGTGTGAAATAGTCGATATACTTCTTACTCTTGATCATAAAAAAGCATCTGGGCCAGACAGAATCAGTCACAGGATGCTTAAAATATCCCCCCAAAAAATTGCAAAACCCCTTAAAATTATATTTAATAAATCCCTGTCCCAAGTTAATACCCTTCTTCATGGAAAATAGCCAATGTAATTGCCATATTTAAGAAAGCAGATGCATCCCTACCATCTAATTATCGACCGATATCCCTAATTAGCTGTGTAGGAAAAGTAATGGAGAGAGTAGTCTACAAACATATTTATAACCATCTACATAAAAAAAAACTTATTTATATGTATCAGTCAGGATTTTTACCAAAACATTCAGCTGTACATCAACTTATTGAACTTTATAACACTATATTAAATTCTCTTGAAAAAAAAAGAATTCAGTTGCTTCGTTTTCTGTGATTTTTCCAAAGCATTTGATAAAGTATGGCATAATGGACTTATATATAAAATGAATTCTTATGGAATAAAGGGAAATTTACTTGCATGGACTAAAAATTATCTTTTTCAAAGAAAACAAAAAGTAGTTATTAGAGATTCGTCTTCGTCATTGTCCATTGTTTCTGCGGGGGTCCCCCAAGGCTCTGTTCTCGGTCCCCTTTTATTTTTGCTGTATATAAATGATATTGGCGAAAATTTAATTTCACTGATTAGACTTTTTGCTGATGATACGTCGCTGGGATATTCCACCGCAAGCATTACAGACTTAGAGGTAGTAGTTAATCATGATTTAAACAAACTCAATGATTGGTAAAAAAATAGGTTAATGTCCTTTAACCCAGATAAAACGGAAATAATGATTTGCTCAAATACTAAGATTCCAAGTAATTTAAGTTTTTTCTTTCAATGGAAGATCAATATCTAACACATCAAGTCATAAACACTTAGGTGTAACTCTCTCCCAGGACGCAAAGTGGAATGAGCACGTAGAAGATATTTCCAAAAATATTACAAAGCATTTAGGAGTCTTAAGAAAATTAAAATTTAAGATGAAAAGACAGAACTTAGAAAAAATGTATCTGGTATATATTCGTCCTATATTTGAGTATGCTTGCGAAGTGTGGGACAATTGTGGTATTTGCTATTCAAACAAATTAGAAAAACTTCAACTGCAAGCTGCGAGGATTGTAACAGGACTGCCAATCTTTACTAAAACCGAATATTTATATTTAGAGACTGGCTGGGAACCCCCGTCACAGTAGGAGGCACAGAAGAAAACTCCAATTATTTTATAATATGTACAATGGCGTCGCTCCACAATATTTATGTGATTTAATTCCCCCAACTATACAAAGTACAACTGTTTATCCACTGCGTAATGGCAATGACTTAATAGTCCCCTTTTGTCGACTCTCCTTAACAAATTCTGCATTTATTCCCTCGTCCATCAGAGAATGGAACAAACTTGATAATTCTATCCGTACACTTGATACCCTATCTAAGTTCAAACGCTATTTGTTGAATAATACATACGAAGCAAAGACTGTACCTAAGCATTTTATGTATGGTCCGCGGAAATTGAGTGTAATTTTAACACAGCTGCGATGTTCAGCCTCATTTCTAAATAATGACCTATTTGAATCAAATATAATACAAAGTCCATATTGTGCTTGTGGCGCTCCGCGTGAGGATTCATTTCATTTCTTCTTTAATTGCAATAAATACGCCGATATAAGGAACGATCTATTAACCAACTTTCATCGTCTACAAGTGACAATAAATCTACAGTTGCTCACTGAGGGTAGCCAAACTTTAACATACGAGGAAAACTGTGAAATCTTTAAAGAAGTCTTTAGATATATAAAAAAATCAAAAAGATTCCTTGTAGTATAATCAAATAAGATATGAATGAACAAAAACATCGTGTCCACAGAATTTCATTTATTTTTTTTCTTTATATTTGTATTATTTCCTATTTTTCCTATTTTTTCTTTTTTTTCTTTTTTTTATATTTTTTCTTTTCTTTTTTTTTTTCTTTTTCTCAATTCTCTATCCTTTTCCTTGTTAATTGCGTTAGGTTTTTTTTTTCTTTCATTTTCTTCTCTGACTGTGCAAATGCCTCATTTTACTATTACCTTTAATATATATCTACTGAACTGTGCATGCTCTGTATAATTGTTATTGTAATATTATGTAAAGGAGAAGACTTCATAAGTTGGTTAAACTTGTGTCCGATCCCTTTTGTATCTATGAGCAAATAAAATCGTTATAAACTAAAACTTAAGGATGTACACCTCTGAGGAGCCAAAAATTTCTAGAATTAAACTTTTTTTCTAAACCTGATTTTTTGGTTTATATGACCGTAAGAAAGTCATTGATGAAGAAAAAATCATATGGTGTGCACTTCTTTTTTTGCTACGGCCATTTAAAAGTAACCCATTTTTATGATTTTCCCATTTTTCATCAATTTTTACCCATTTTGGGGCTATTATCATGAAAAAATCACAGTTTCACAATTAAACTTTTTTTCATGCTTTTACCAATGATGAAGTGGACCAATCTGAATAAATTTAACTTAAAAAAACTATAGGTAGGTGTTAATATAAGTAAGTTTTATGACATTTTGTTGCTTCTTTGTGTCAAATTGACCATTCTGTAAATTTTGTAAATTTTTAATTTTTCTCTTTTTTTTTAAGAACAAAAAGCATATTATATCAACTTCTTTGTTATGAATGAATGAAAAAATACATATCTAAGAATTTTGA